CTTCAATCTCAGTCCTTAGATTCCTCCCCTAATTCTCTGCAGAATTTTGCTCTAGAGATCCCATTACTACCCAGTGTCCCAGTATCTTCTATTTCTCTGTCACCCTAATGCCTTCCCTTCAGTATTTAAACATAATTGTATCCATAGTTAGACCCATGTGGGTTCCCTTCAAATCCTTCTCATTCCCCACCTGCAATTGCTATCTTCTCTGCTTCCTGTCATATTTCCCAAGGGAGTTGTATCCATTCATTCTAACCTCTTACCCCTGTCCTCAATCCCTAGCCCACTCATTTCACTCATGCTATTCTAGATAAGGTCACCAATGACTTCCTAATAGATGTTTTTTCAGTCTTCTGTTTCTTGGCATTATGGATAACTTCCCCTGGCCTTGTTCTATAAGTGAAGATTAGCATCTCTCACCTACCTCAACCTTAACAGATCTACCTCCTACTTTAGTAATAAAGTAGATCCTGCCTTCTCATGGGGACTGCCCTTTCTTATCCCTATTGTCAGCTAAATTTCTTCAAAGAGCAATCTTAACCTTTCCTATTCAAATTACACCTTAGTCTTCACCAGCTTCATCTCTTGCGACATGAGACACTATCAACTATTTCTCTTCTTGAAACATACCATTATGTCGGCTTTTTTTTTTTTTAATGTACTTACATGATGTTGCTCATTCTTCTCTGTTCTCTTTCTAGTTTTTCACTTTCCATGACCTTACCTGTTAGTAGTTCCTCAGCACCAGAGGCAGTAGTAACTCTGACTGTAAATCTCCCATAGGATTGTTGTGAGCATTAAATGAAGTAACATAGCTATGACTCAGTTTTAGTCTATTGGTTTTTTCAGAGAAGTTGAGCCCAGTTTTACCAATTCTTGACTCCCCCCCCACAAGAAAACCAAGAATTAGATGTGAAATATTCTGACTTTTAAGGGAGTTAGGGTGCAAATATTAAAAACATACCTGAATTACCCTCTAGGGCATCTGTTGGGTATTGCATTTGCAGTCTGTTTTAGGGAATTTGGATAGCACTGAAGATGGTTCCTGTGTGCATTTTGGGGTTTACAAGGACTATTTCTGTATACCCATAATGCCCTGACTTATATTGCCTGGCACTGTGTCCTACACATAAATATTGATTCAATGAATTGGTTGCATGAACATTTCCTTTTATAGTTAAACATCTTGTCATTTAAAAGCCAATAGTTAGTCAAATATTGGTTTCATTATTAGACTGGTTTATCCTAAGGTCTGCTGGTGTTGTTTCCCAACTTTTAACTGTTGCTGTTCTTAGTACTTTGCTTTAAGGTTTGTTTCAAAATAGTCTAGATGTGTCCTGCTTGTATTGGACATCACACTTCTTTGGTTGTTTTATCATGACTTCTGTTTTCTGGCATCACTCTTTTATACAACATAGCATTTCCAGTGCACAGTAGTTTCATTGTCTAAAGAATTAATGTACTAGTCCAAAATTGTTTCTTCACCCATCATAATATCGTCCTTAAAACTATGCAGCCTAATAATGGAAGTGAAGATGGTGGTTTCTAATATTATATTCATTCACTCAAATGTAAGAGGTTAAGAAAAAAGTCATTGAGAGCACACTTGTGTTCCTGGTATAAAGAAGAAGAGACAAATAAAATACAATTCTTTATTTTAAGGCAAATAATGCAGAAAATAATATAGTTATAAGAAGTTACAGTAGAGTTATAAGAAGAAGGGAACATACACTTTATAGGAGGCAGTTGGCCAAATGATTAAGAATACAGTTTCTGGGCTGGGGATGTGGTTCAAGCGGTAGCGCGCTCGCCTGGCATGCGTGGGACCCGGGTTCGATCCTCAGCACCACATACAAACAAAGATGTTGTGTCCRCCGAGAACTAAAAAAAATAAATAAATAAAAAAACAAAGAGGGAAGACATTTAAAAAAAAAAAAAGAATACAGTTTCTGAAGCAGACTTCTCAGGTTCAAGTTTGGCTTGATTAATTACCAGCTGTTGGTTTTTCCATCTGTAAATAGGGGTGTTAGAGAATCTATCCCATCGGTTTATTATAAAGACAAAAGTGAATTCAGCCTGGCTTAATGCTGCACACCTGAAATCCCAGAGGCTGAGTATTTTGAGTTCAAAGCCAGTCTCAGCAACTGTGAGGTGCTAAGCAACTCAGTGAAATCTTAAACAACTCAATGAGACCCTGTCTCTAAGTAAAATACAAAATGACTCAGTGGTTGGTGCCCCTGAATTCAATCATCTCTGGTATTWAAAAAAAAAGTGAATTCATACTGCTTAGGACAGTATCTGGTATAAAGTAAGCACCCCCAAAATGTTATGTTACAATTAAAGAGATGCACTTAACCTTGAAATAAAGAAAAAAAACTTTCTCTGAGGTAATTTCTAATTGAAGTCCTGAAGATTTCCTCAACAAATATTTATTGGGTATTTTCTAAGCACTATGTACTAGTGTAATGGGGATGAAAATATAAGAGACAATGAGAATAGCAGGTTCAAAGTCATGAAGATGTGAAAAGTCAGGGTGAGCTCTTAAAAGGAGAAAAAGTTGAGAGGGACAGTGAGAAAGAACTGGGGGGATGAGATTATTGAGCAGCCTTTTACATCATACTATGGCATTTGAAATTTATCCTATAAACATAGGAAGCCAAAGGGAGTGATGTGATTGAATTTGTGCTTAAACATTACTCTGGTGATAATTTGAAGTAGCCCAAATTTCTTTAGGAAGTGAGACTTGCCTCAAAACTCATCATGGGGGAGAGGTGAGATGGTTTTCTCTGCAAACCCAAACTAACCGATTTCAGAATAAAAGCACTTCCAAATTAAGAAGTGAAAGTGAGTTTTCCACTTGTGTAGTAAAAATAATACTTTGAAGGAGCACAAGGCATTTGTCACACACACAAAAATATTCTATGATTCACGGAGCTTTCTGAGTGAAACAACCAACTCTAGACCGGCCCTTCCAGATCTCTCATATTCTTTGTGTGTTTCATTGATTGATTTAACAACAAACAATGATTTTGCCTGATACTGCTTTAGGGCTGAGATTCAAGAATGAACAAAAAAGGACAAAAGATTCCTGTTCTCTGGAAGCTTACATTCCTCTGAGGTATAGGGAATATACATTAAATATAATGTTACCTTAGATATTGAGATAAGTGTTACTGAAATTAAAAAATGAAACATAGTTGGAAAAATTGGGAATGTCCATTCATTATAGGAACTAAACAAGGCAAACAAGTCATGAAAGGATGATTTAAACATGAAATAGAGGAAATGCAAGGCTCTCTGCAGTGCAAAATTCATGATAAAACTCTACGGTGGACACAAAGTCCAGTAGCTACACACTGGTTTCAGCTGCAAAGAGTCCCCCTTAAAAACTGAGTGTTTCCAGTTATATATGCATTATAAATCCCATATATGTGTGTGCATATACATATGATTCATAAAGGCCTATATAAGCCTACTTTAAACAATGTGATATGGACAAGGCTTAAAATGAACTGAAACACTGTATCTCCATTATTTTCACAATAAGAAACCTGAGGGTTGGTGGTGTTGCTGGGTGTGTGTGTGTGTGTGTGTGTGTGTGTGTGTGTGTGTGTATGTGTGTGTTTTGGACAGAATCCCTTGCTTGGAACAGAGCCCGCCAGAGTTCAATTCTTCTACAACCTGTTCTAATAACAGCCCAACCCGGCAGGAACCTTGCTTTTTTCCCTTCTTATCATAAAAACAAACCAATCCCGCAACCACGTAGTATCATAGAGTGGTATCGTTGCCCTCATTAATCTGCTGCCGGAATTTTTTTTTTTTTTCCTAGTCCTGACTCCAAGGGAAGAATGCCACCTACCGAATCCTCCGCACCAGTCAGCCAGTCCTGCGAAGCGCAGCAATACTAACTCAACCCAGGTCGGCTCCAAATCCCCTCCTCTGATTACTCTTCAGGCAGGAAGGGGGTGAAAAAGCCAGTATTTGGGCTAACAGGAAACTATGCTCTCAGCGCAGATATCTGATAAACACTTCCACATATTGTAGCCTTCTCAATAGCTAAGCCAGATTTCAACGTCCTCTCTGCCTGCATTTTCCTTAATTGCGCTTTCACATTCGGAAAGCCCGCATCTCTGCACCCACAGACAGCGGAAACCGCGGCTGTAAACGTGCAAGGGCTGCTGCCCAGCGGCTGCCTAAGCCAGCCGTGTGACCAGTCTAGCCTTAGCGATTGCGAACTTCACAAGAGGTCAAGCGATGACATGGGGCTTCCAAATTTAAACAGCCGCCGCACTCTGAGCCATGCAACCCCATCCCGCGCCCTGGGCCGTAGGGTGGGGGTGGGGGTTCTCCGCAGTCCGCTGAAAGCGGGCGGGGAATCACTGCAACTCCTCGGTTTCAGGCTGAGGTCGCCACCGCTCCACAGATGCAAGCGCTGAAGGGGCGCCTTTCCCCCCGGACGCCGCGGGAAAGGAAGGGGTCGGGTGGGAGTGGGCAGGGCTGCGTGAGAGCCGACTGTTATGCACTTCAGGCCCTCGTGCATGACCTGAGTGGGTGAGCTTCTTAGGGCAGGGCACACTGGGAGCATAGGTCCAATACTGTCAGTCGCCTGGTCCCTAATATTATATGCACTCGGGCACCCGCGCTGCCGGCCCTCAGGGGAGGGCGGAAGCCTGAAGAGGGAGGCGGGGGGCGGTCCCGGCTCCCGTGCCCGGAGCGGAGGGGGCGGGCCCGAGGCGGGGCGGGCCGTGGTTCTGACTGGCGGTCGCGGCTGTAATCGCCTGCAGCCCGCGGCGCCGCGCGCAGGCTGCGGTACATGGCCCCGACGGGAGGCGAGCAGCCCTCACCGGAGCTCGGCTCCCTACCTGAGCACGACGGTGGCGCCTCGGCACGCGCGTCGTCGCCCCTCCAGCTGCTGGCCACGGACATGACCAATTAGCCTCTTCCTAGGCTGGGATTTGCTTGCAGATTTTCTTCATGGAAGCGATGTCCCCCCAGCAGGAGACTCTAGGTGGGCAGACTGGGCGCTCTTCTTCCCTGACAGGAGTGTCACGAATCGCGGGAGGCCCCGGCACCAAGAAGGTGAGGAGGCTAAGCTGGGGGCCTCGCGCCTGCCGCCGCCGCAGCCCCCACGCCGGCGTGCGCCCTCCGCGTGGGTCGCGGCTCTGCTCGAGCCGGACGCCGCGAGGATTTAACGTTTAACGTTCAAGGCTCCCAGCGGCGGCGCTCTCGCAGACATTCCCGCCTTCGCTAGCCCCTCACGCGGCGCCGCGCTGCGCYCCGCCCCCCCCCCCCCAGTTATCCGCGAAGCCCCCAGTTCGCCGTATCTAGAGTCTTGATTCCCTTCGCAGCGGACCGCAGCCCCCCTCCCCGTCTTCATCCGCCGCCGGAACCGCAGCCCAGCATCTCCCTCGGTTCCCGAGCGCCGACTCGGATTGGGGGTCGCCTTTCCCTCCGGGGGCTGGGCACCGGATCACCGAGGTGGCCTTGGCGGGGTCAGCTCTGATGTCATCAGGGCCGGTGGCGCCTGCCCGGGCGCCACAACCGGCGATTAGGAAGGTAGGCGGTTGCGGGGCTGCGAGGCTGCGGGCTCGGCCCCTCACCTGGCGCTGCGGAGCGGGGAAGGGTGTGCTCCCACGCCGGGCGCCAAGGTCTTGGCGATACCCGGCTCCAGGGTGGTGGTCAGAGTTGGAGGTGCAGATGTAACAGGATGCTAACAGTCCAAGCTACGGGCGAGGAAATTTGGCCCGGCCTAGAGCCGGGCTGGGTTCGAGCCCTGTGGGCTGTGGTGGAAGGCGGAGGCGCGGGCCTGTGACCTGAGCTCCCAGCGCGCGGTTGGGGCCGGCCAGGCAGGAGAGGGACAGGGTGTCGTATGAATGTGGGATCAGCGCGCATTTCTTTCAAAGGTGGGAGAAGGGTTGCGGGTAACAACTTGTAGCGTTGCCTTGTCATAAAGGCGGCGCGCAGAGGTGGGAGGATTCCGACCCGGGTCAGGTTTCTTTGGAACAGTTAGCTGAGCAAGTGCACGTGGGCAATGAGCCGCCGGCTGCGGCTTAGTCTTTCTCAGGAGTTGTTTTGGGTGTTTTTAGTGATATCTGCTTCCCCCTTCTGCAGCCCAAGACCTTCAGATATTTGGCCATTTTCGTTCCTTGTCATGGTGGTGCCTTTGCAGCGTTTCTGGAAACAAGTTGCGATTAGAGGGATCATCTAGCTCTTAAGAAAAATGTTAAGGCATTGCGTTGCTATAACTAGAGACTCAGGAAGGGGTTACGTGTTACATAGGCTCCCTGCTTGTCCAGATTTTATGGCCTTTCATAAATCTTCCCATCGGGATGGTGGGTTGGCCAGAGGTCAGTTGAAGAGAAGGGAGATGGGTATATCAGGTATAGACGTGTATGTGAGCTCCCAAGGACCTTGACCATGTTGCAGAGCCATCTAGGGGTGTCTGTGAACTTGATGTATGGGCTTTAGTGCCGGCTCAGCCTTTGATGTATTGAGACTGCCGTTTGTCCTTGTCGTTTTTTCCTCTTTAGAAATGGAGGGAGGATGTGTGTAATCAACTCTATCTAAATAAACACGTGTGAATTGTACCAAGTTAGCAGCACATTTAGGAAGGTAAATGAACGTTCAGTAATTGATATAGATTTTAAAGCATTGTTTATTTTTGTAAACTTAAGGAATTGGAAAAAATCTGATTTATATTCCTGAACAATTTCCTTTCTTTTTCTTTTTTTTTTGCTTTTTATCAAGGTTAACTAATCATGCTGGTAAAGGGAGCAAGCATTAAAAGTAGCTTCATCATTTGTGAAGTAGTACTTGTCCGGTAAATGAAGGGTTCCTTTTTTCCCATGTTCCTTTTACTCAGAATAGTCTCCTGTCTCCAAGATGGTGTCCTTCATTATAAAACATAATGGGTTGATATATTACCAAGCCAGTGCCTACTTCTCCAAGTTTGCTGGAAAAAATAAATATGAAATTGAGTAAATGATGACATATAAGTGTCTACTTAAGGGTCTATTTAAATGCTAGCACTTATTGTTTGTAATTTTTTCCCGTATCTGTAATTCAAAGCATTGTGTCCCAGTTGTTCAGGCCAAAAMTCTAGGATTCATTTTCAACTCATTTCCTTACTCTGCAACAACCTCCATCAGAAAAGCTACTGTCACTGGAAATGTATCTTGAATTTCTGCTTCATCTCTCACTTGTACCTTTGCAGAAACTCATTGTCTTAACACCTTTCTTGTCCTTCCATAATCCAGTCTTTATTTAGCAGTACCAAATGATATTTTTTAAATGTGAATTTATCATGTTGCTCACCTGCTTAAAATCCTGAAGTGGTTTTCCACCACTTTTATAATAAAAATCTTTTCTTGGCTGCATCTGCTTCTCCCACTTACCTACCTTCCCCCTTTCCCTTATTTGTGTATTCTTCCACCAAGTGGGTCTTCTTTTTCAAAGGTAAAGCTATCACATTCATGCCTATTTTTAAGGCCTTGCTATTTCTTCTGTACCTGCCTCAGGTCTTTATGTCCTTTACTCTTAATGTTTAGATCTTAGGTTTTCCAGAGGCCTGTTCTGTTTATCTAAAAGAAAGTTGCCTTTGGTCATACCCTGTACCTTCAGCTTTATCTTCATTAGCATTACACTTTGCCTGGTATTTTCTTATCTGCTTTCTCATCTGTTACCTGCACCCCTCACCAGATTTTGAAAACCTTTAGGATGGGGACATTATCTATATTGTTTTAGGCTCTCTTCTCAGTGCCTAGAATGCATAATGAGATATCTCAGAGAAGGCACTCAAATCTCAACATGAAATTCATTTATGTTTTGTGTAGTTTATATGCATAGCTCGCAGTTAATTTTGTACAGTAATTTTAGTGCACCTGTGGTTTGATTGCAGTCTGTTACATGAGGGTTAGCCTGGAACTTTGCACTTGTAGCTTAATATCAGTGCTCAAAAATTTTCCGATTTAGAGCATTTTGGATTTCAGATTTTTAAAATAGAGATATTCAACCTGTAGACCAAAGTGTGTTTAGTTATTTATCATTTATCATTTGCATTATTTCCAGTTTTTGACTGTTACAATGTGAATGTTCATGTATAAATCTACATGGAACTTTGATTTTGTTTGAGGTAAACACTTAGTATAAAATTACTGGGTCATTTTTTAGGTATACACTTAACTTCTAAGACAGTGTTAAGGTTTTGTTTGTTTGTTTGTTTGTTTTTCCCCAAAGTGATTTCATAGTCTCATGAGTAGTGTTTTGGAGTTCAATTTTTCCACATTTTCCCCACACTTGTTATCATCTATGTTTTTATTTATAGTTGTACTAGTGGGGTGTAAATTAGTGTTCAGTGGTTTTGATTTGTGTTTCCTTAATAACTATGATTTTGAGCATCTATCATGTGTTTATCTTTAGCTATATGTTATCTTTGGTTAAGTGTTTATTTTAATATTTTGCCCAGTTTTAACTGCTGTTAGCTTTATTATTGAGTTTTGAGAGTAATTGATATATTCTGGTTCCAAATCCTTTGTCATATATGAGATTTGTAAAATGTTTTCTCTGTCTGTGACTTGTCTTTCAGTCTCCAAATAGCATCTTCCAAAGAAAAGAATTTCTTTCATTTTAGTGGTACCTAATTTGTTAATTTTTTTCCTTTAATTTTATATAATTGTAATTAATTTAAATTTAAATAACCATTTTTTAATGGTTGCTATATTGGACAGCACAGATCCAGAAGGAGAGATAAACAGTAACAAAAATTACTGGCTGTGGTGGCATACACCTATATTCCTAGCAACTTGGGAGGCTGAGGCAGGAGGATCTCGAGTTCAAAGCCAGTCTTAGTAACTTAGCAAGGCCTTTGGCAAATCAGCAAGACCTGTCTCTAAATAAAATTTAAAAAAGTACTGGGAATATGGCCTAGTGGTTAAGTGTCCCTGAGTTCAATATCTGGTACAAAAAAAAAATAATAAATGATAATAACTTATTAAAGAAATAGACAAAACCCTTATGTGGACAAATATGGGTGTTGAGTCAGATCAGTCTGCATTAGGGTATTCAAGAGAAGACCTTTTTGAAATTACCGTTAATTCTTTTATGAGTGGAAAAAATAGTATGCTATAAAAAGATTTCAGGAAATTCAAAGGTCTTAAGACAGGTATGTTTGAGGTACTAATGTGTAGATGCTATATAAGACGTTACTATCTTTATTTAATAATCACATTTATTTTAACCTTAAGTAGAGTTAACTGGCTGGATCACTTACCATATTTATCAAAGGATTTGACCATTTCTAAAAATCAAATCCACCCTCAAAGGACAAAGATTTTCCATTGAAAATTTGAGGCTCTTCAAAAGAATATACAATAAATTCACATAATAATTAGAAAAAAAGCAGTGTTCTAAATARAATGGCATCATACAGATAATTCTGATAACCACATTTGTGCAGAACAGTTTTAATGTCTGGAAGCACATATTTGAATCATGGGACGATATGTGTCAGGATGTTATGATTTGGATGTGAGTTATCCTCCCAGAAGCTCCTGTTAATGCAGGAATATTTAGAGGTAAAATTCGGATTATGAGAGATGTAACTAATCAATCCATCCTAGTTTGAATGGACAGACTTGAGAGTAATTGTAGACTGGTGAGGCATGGCTGAAGGAGGTGAGTCACTGGGGGAATGCACCAGAAATGTGCATCTTCCTTGTGGCCCCTTCCCCTCTTCTCTGCTTCCTGGCCACCATGATTTGAGCATCCTTCTTCTTTGGGCCCTTTCTTGGGTACTGCCTTTCCTTGGACCCAGAGCAATGGAGTCAGCCACGTATGAACTGAGACCTCAGAAACCATGAGCTCCAAATAAACTTTTCCTCCTCTAAGTTGTTCTTGTCAGGTATTTTGGTCTTAGAGACAAAAAACTGCTGACTAAAGCAGACTCAAACACATTGACTCTTATTAATTGAAAACTGTTAAAATAGGTGAGTTTGGGAATAGGGAAGAGACAGAAAACCAGTTAGTTCTAACATCTTAAAATGCAGCTGCTGTTATAAACTCCATTCTTTTCTGTCTGCATTCTCTGGGTCGATATCGTTTATAGTGCTTCATGATAGAACACCCCCAAGAACTGACTTGGGCCACGTGTGTGTCTGATACTGGGGCTTGAGTGAAACCTCCTAGTGAATAAGCTTTAGTTTTACTTTTCTGTATTGAGAAAAACACTATGCCTGAACTTCAGCCAGTATCCTGCTAAGCCCATCTCTGGTGTTATTCACAAAATAAGTTGCATTAAATCAGGTGCATACGATGTTTTGTTAACATTCGCCTTAGCCACTAGGTAAATGTTTAGTAAACATTGACTAATAGTGACAATCAGTGATACAATCCCTGATATAATTACTTCGGTACCTTTGTGAGGTTTACACCTTGGTATCTGTTACTTTTCAATTTTTTGTATGAGGCAGTTGTATTTTAAGAGCTTTTTGGCCAGACCTGATTTCCATGCTGATACCTCAACCTTGCTTTCTATTGGAAAGCTTGACTTATTTCCCAGA